GTCAGGTGGTCGGTAGGTCCGTCAGGTGGTCAGTGGAAGGTGTTACCTCATCGTGCAGGTTGACGTAGGGGAACTGGACCAGATCCTGAAGCTGAGATCGTTCACACAGAACCACCACCAGCTGACGGAGACAATCCAGCTGCCTGTAGACACATCACATGTGTTTATTATAAAGGGAACCAGTTTAGACTGAGGCAATCACAGCAGGAAACCACAGGGTCAGTCTGTCTGGGTGAATTGTTGTCAGACAGACAATTTTTCTGTTTTCACCTGAAAACAACCTGCAAGTCCACTTTCAGGGTTCAGTATCTCCAGAAATAAAACTGCCATGGACAGAAGAGTTGCCATGAGATCAGACTGACTGAAGGGATCCAGCATGGGACACAAACTGACGTCTGAAATTCAGTCAAAATATTTTACAGAACTTAGGTTTGAATTCCAAATACAAATAAACGGAACAGAATCTGAGACGCTGCAGCATCACGTCTCCTGAATTCTGTCTGAACCGCCTCAGACTGACCCTGATGATGTTTATCTGTTATTTATGGTTCAGCTTGTTCCTTACAGAACCTATAACATCCCATAATAACTACGAGCAGTGTGGTTACATGCAGATATGAACATGCATGTGCATACGTACATGCTGCTGTCTGGGTTCTGTGTCAAAGCTTCATAAGCTTCACTGTTGTGTCCGAGGTCCAGGTGATGTTTGAAGATTCTGGTCCACAGAGCCGCCTGCACAGAACACAGTTATCTCAGCTCAGGTGTTGGTTGTAGCGTTCTACCTGACGGGCGGCGCCTCACCTGGCTGTTGGTGTCACTGACAGCCTCCGTTATGGCCAGAGAGGAGAGCTGGATGACCAGCTCAGGTAAACCCACGTCCTCCAGCAGCCGCAGCACCTGGACAGAAGGAATCAGCAGGTTGTCAACTTTCCTACAGTCCCTGAATGCATCACACGTAATGATCCGTCACAAAAACAGTTTTCTGAGCAGATTCAGTGAAATTATACAGAGCAGCCAGCAGCTGGAGATCCATCCATCAGCAGCTGGAGATCCATCCAGCGTGGTGAACCATCACAGCAGAGAGAACACGTCCACGTCTGCAGTCATTACTTTTATTACTGGTAGCTGCTGGAGAGAAATCGTCCCGTCTTGAACCTGCTGTAACTCCAGCTGAGGTCGTACAGGTGAGCTGGAATGGCCTCTCCTCACAACTATCAGATTTATGGGTCGATCAGCAGTCAGATGCTGGCTCTGATAAAGCTCTGGTACCTTGTTGTAATACTGTAGCCGGGGCGTGGAGGCGGACTCTTCGTCCTCGCTGCCCGTCAGCTTCATCAGGAACTCCTCCTTCTCCACCTCCGTCGCTGCTTCCTGGAAACACTGCAGAGCCTGAAACACAAACACAATGAGACACGAGCAGGTGAACGCTGCCGAGCCTGATGACAACACAACAGGCCAGACTCACCTTCTGACCCTCCCCGTTGGCAAGGTAACACTGACCCAGCATGAAGCGACAGGAACCGATGTTCACCTGACACCACGGACCAATCAGACGCACGTATTCCTGCAGCACAGACAGCAGCAGGTGAGACACCCGGCAGATGCTCAAGTACACAAACGTCCGGCTCTGAAACAGCAACGTCTCAAATCCAGCCGGACACAGTGTTCTGACAGAAGGACAGAGCTCCACGTGGAAACACAAGGTAGTCACGTTCAGATGTGGTATGTGCCGATGAACCCACCTGCAGCTGGGTGTACTGACAGTTGGCCATCAGACACTCCGGGAACTGGAAACCAGGGTTACTGGGCCAACTGGGAGACACCAGTTAAGACTCAATGAGACACAACTGAAGACTGCAGGTTCACAGTAGATACAACAGCGGTACTGTCTGAGTCCCATCTGGACCAGAACCAGCTGCTCCATCTGCAGTAACATCAGAGCAGCTGGTTCTGGTCCAGCTTCAGACTGATTTACAGTTTGGATCAGCTGGAAGGAAAAAGTTCTGTTTCTGAGCCACAGTTTGTTCTGTTCCTGCATCGTTCCTCAGACATCCCAGAACATCTGTAACCCTGCTCATATCCGTATGAAACGCCACCGGGCAGAGACTTCATCAGAACATGGAGCTTTACAGAACCAGGACCAGTGGTGCATGAAGTGGAGCCAGTTACTGAGATGTTTGTTCTAGTGAAGTTCTCCTGATCAACAGTGGACCATGTTATTGATTAATAACCAGATAGTCATTACACTGAACAGGAACACTGGCTGGAGGCATGACCGGCTACACAACCAACATCTTTAACCAACTCCAGGCAACCTGTGGAAAAACCCAGAAGAAGTATCACAGACAAGTTGGAGATCACAGAGGTTCCATCAGAATGAGGAGCGTTCAGGTTAATGGTCTCACAGAACCGTGTGGAACCAGGTGTTGGTGTGCAGGACGCCTACATGCCTCCTGTCAGTGAGCTAGAGTCCTCCAGCAGACTGTAAAGGTACTGACACCAGGGTTCAGACCGTCAGTGATCCTGAACAGAACCAAGGATACAGAAGCTGAGCCAGCAGCTGGACCACGTTGGACATCATGTGGCTCCACAGCAGCACCGAGCTACTCTGCTGCTGAGAGTAGACCTGAGAGATGATGATCCTCCGACCGACGGTCTGATAGAAGAGCTCCACCACCGTCTGAGGACTCAGCACTGCAGCAGAACACAGGAGAAGCTCAGCACCACACATGAAGCTTTATGATGGACCTGGAAGTGTTTGAGAGGCTGCTGATCGCCTTCAGCTGCTACAGTCAGTCTGAAGGTCAGACGGTTCACACTCTGAACAGAGATCAGCACACGGGAAAGAGTTCTGACCTGATCGGCTGCAGGCGGCAGCAGGAGAGTCCGACAGCTCCAGCACGGTGAGGTGCTGCAGGTTGGCGTCTCTGAAACAACACAACAGCCAGTGAGCATGAACATCACCACAACACCAACAGTGAGCAGGTGGTGCTACTGGGAACACCTCCAGCTGTGACAGCTTTATAGAGCCTAGAACCAGGACTCAGCAGAACCTGTCATCACTCTGACATGAAGGAGTCTGAAATCAGACTGACTCTGATTAACGCTGAAAAGCAACAAGAGGAGAAAACTTCAGGGAAGTAAACACGTCTATAAGTCTGCATGTCCAGCTGGGTGCTCAGCGTGTACTGGTACTCACAGCGTGTCCATGGGGATGGAGGAGGCCAGGTTCTGGCTGATGTGCTTCAGGAGGTGATAAGACGACAGCAGGTGAGAGCTGCGAGGAATCAAGTCCTGCTGGAGCTGCAGCAGCTGAGCGCCCCCACCCAGAAACACCTGCAGACAGAAAACAAACGTGTACGACAACAGGATCAAAGGATGTCATGTCAAAGGATGTCATCACACATATATACATATATACATATAGTATATGTGACCTGGTAACAGCAGTAATAATCATATATAACAGAATAATGACTCTGCAGGTCTGACGCTCTGCAGCTTCTTTTGGTTGGGATGCTGCAAATACAGATGATCGTCTCCATGAATCACTGTCTGAGTCCGCTGTTTTTTGGTCCAAAAATATTCACCTTACTGTCACAGAGGAGGAACGAGACCAGGAGGTCTTCACAATGAAGAAGCAGAAATCACAGAATGCAGACTGTCTGACTGTTTTTGTTTTTAGAAGTTACTCAGACTGATCAGTCCATAATAATGGATGTTAATAAGCTGTTGCAGCTCAGGTGAGTACTCCTGCAGACGCTGCACATGGAGTTCAACATGCAGAAGGATGTTGGTGTGTTTTCACTTTGACAGGCTCAGCTTCACCTGCGTCAGCTGTTCGACTGTCTATCTGTGCAGCGATCCTTGTGCAGACGTTACACTGAGCGTGCTCACTGGTGTTTGTACGTACGTTGTCTCCGAAGCGCAGGTAGAGCTTCTGCAGGATGAGCAGGTCTCTGCAGAACAGCGCTCTGGTCATGGCCATGTGGCAGACGGCCTGGCAGACCAGCGACACCGCAGAGCTGCTGCCGTACAGCTGCGACAGGCTGATCCGGGTGTTCAGGCTCTGACCTGCAGACAGAACCCAGGGACAGTCAGTGGCCTGCAGGTTCACCAGCAGACCTCCACCCGCCAGGACCACCTACCAGGAGCGATGACGCCATCCGCCCCGAGCTCTGAGTCCGTCTCCAGGTCCATCTCCCTCAGCAGAACCATCATGGCTGCCATGGGGTTCCGGACATCCTGCAGTTTGTTCTGGATGTCCACGATCACGTTGTCGCTGCAGTGACATGTCGTCAGCGTTACACATTATCCTTCCTTCAGCCCATTCATCACCAACGCTCATCATCAGACCTGCTGCTGAACTGTAGCACCTGACTGACCTGATTAACCCATGTCTCAGTTTAGCAGATTAGGCAGCAAGTGTGTCTGGTACGTTACAGGTGTGTGTTACAGGTACGTTGCAGGTGTATGTTACAGGTGTGTGTTACAGGT